TACTTTTTTTTTTTTTACAAAGACCACATTTTTTCTGATGCATCTCTTAAATCTAAGAAGCGGGTTCTCTGACAAAGATAAATGACATTGCACAGGGAATGGAACAATAGCGATATGTGCCATGTCTTGAAAACAATAAGAAAATTGTTTGATGAGCTTCACTTAAATGTATTTGATACAAACTGCCACAAAAGCACATGACAGAAATATCCATTGATGATGGAGCCTCTTTGCACCTGTTGGAAGGGGAGCTTTACTTCTGGAACAATGTGGAAGCTGAGACAAATGTCCACAACAACAAACAATCATGAATGTTTCTGAATTACAAATTTTGCTACATTTGTAACCAAAATTGTGCTCCTCTATAAATACCACCCTTGGGATTGAAATCATGATTTTCAAAGTTTCATTTCTTTTTTCCTCCTCCTCCTCCTCCTCCTCCTCCTCCTCCTCTCCTCAGAGCCTCCACGAGTCTCCCTCAACGTGGAGCCCCTTCTGTCCTTGCAGGAGGGGGACGAGCAGAAGGTCATTTGTGAGGCAGAGGGCTACTACCCTCTGGATGTGGAAATATCTTGGTATGAGCAGGACCCTGCAGCGTCGGGTCAGAGGGTTGGAGCTCCTCTGCCCAAAGTGCTGAAGAACATCCTGATGTCCAGCCACAAACTCAACAAGGACAACACCTACTCAGTCTCAGCTTTCTTCTACCTCCAGGCTTCACTCAGAGACTCGGGCAAACAGTTTAAATGCATTGTCTCTCATCAGTCTCTGAGAGTGCCTATCAAAAAGACCTTCATCCTGCATGTTAAAGGTGAGAGGAGATGGTGATTTACCTGTAGTACTGGGAGCTACCACTCAGTGGCAGCAAATGTACATGTGTCATCTTTCTCTTCTCTGTTTGTGTGCTCAGAGGTAAGCAACTGGATGTTTAACCTCTCTGTTGGCTTCTTGGTGATCACACTGTTCGTCATCCTGTGTATGATGCTGCGCTACCTGCACTCAGGTGAGTCTAGAAGCCCCGCATGGAATAAAAACCTGTGTGGGCTACTGCATTAATATCACTGTGACATGTGAGGTGTTATGTCCATGACAGTAATAAGTATTTGTTTTCTCCACAGAGAGAAAACGCTCACAGCAGGTAAGGAAATATATGTATATATATAAAACCTGTTTGTTCTGATTTAACAGTCAGCATCAATGCAAACTAATATTTCATCCTTGGTGTGTGCATCTGCATGTGTGTGTTTCTGTGTGTCTGTCTTGAGCAGAACAAACCGTACTGAGCAGCATCGGTGGCCTGAGAAGAACATCACAATCACCAGTGAAGGCAGACAATCTCCATCACTCCTCTCCCCTCATTTGTTGCTATTTCAGAATGTTGCAGATGTTTGATTTAGATTTTGTTTTGGTGAATTTGGGTTTCTGTGAAACTGAATATCTGTTTGTATGTTGCACTGATTTTTATTTAATTGTATGCATTGTAGTAGCTTGATATTGAAGTAAATGATTGAGCTCCTTGAAAAAGAGAAACCCATGCATTACAGATCTGGTGGTGAAGCTGCAATCCCAGTTTAAAGGTACCATATGGGGTTTGAACACTAGTAATGCAATGATGCAACCAACATGTGCACAGGCAACATGACACAGATTCCTGATCTACAGGTGGCCGTACTGCACCGAGAATCAGAGCAGTGAAAAAGAAAACTGCTGGGTAGCAAACATAGGTATAAAAACTGGAGGAATTAAAATGGGTTTAAGAATTGGCTTTTTTTTGTGCTTGTCAACATATTCAACAAGTTTGTTAGACGTCATGGACACACTGAGTGCGTTTATATCTGAATGTGTTATAAACATAACATAGTTTACCTACAAGAAAACTCCACATGGCACCTTTAATGACATATAACTGCAGCAAATCTAAAATGTCACAAAACTTGCTCTCTTATTGTTGAACTGTAAAATAATAATTTAAATACTTTGGAATAAATACTTAATATTGCCGTAGTTGTTCTGATTTCAGATGTTATTTTAATTTCAGGTGGTTTTTAGACTATCTTGGCAGAATTTGAGTGACTAATAAAAGGGCTATTTGGATTTAAAAATGTCTCATTTGTTGTCTGAAATGTCTTTTCCTCCTCTTTTAATTTCCAGGCAGATCTGAGCCCATGAACAAACTGTTAAGTGAAATGTTGGCCTTTAAGTATAAGATAAAAATCCCTCACGTTGACTCCAACTCACAAACTAAATGAAAGCTGTTTATCAGTTTCCTTTTGACATAAAAATACTCCTAAATCTAAAGAGTGGTCCAGGTGCAGCACCACTTTAAGTTGTTTTTCTCGCCAAGGTTCAAAGGTATTGTTATATTTGTGAAACTTTCTCTGCTGCAGAAACTCACGTATTAACAGAAATCAATGACACGCCGCCATTAACAGCAACAATAAATGACTAACTAACACAGACAATGGAAATCCATACCAAATAGAGATGTGCAGGTGTGCCAGGGTGGAGCAAACATGCAGCCAGTCAAGCCAAAATTGGCACGAGGGCTGAAAAAGACACGAAGTCTTTCAGTCTAAACAGCAACTTCAGATTTAACTGTTTTACAAAAAGTGTAAAAACAGGAATGCAGTTTTTACTCAGTGTGTGCACCTAATGTGGTCAGAAATGTGTCTCTCCTTTATAAAACATTTCTGTCCTCCTTGTTCATATATTTCTGATTTTATGTATTAGCATGCTGCTAAAGATAACAAAAATTGCAAGGATAAAATCATACAATCCAGCATAACATAGAGTAACACTGAGACAATCTACATAAAAAACAGAGAGCACTCAGTAGAGGGACAGCGTTGCCCAATCTGTGCATGTTTACCTGATTCTGTGTTTTACTGTGCACCTACTTGAGGATGAACTTGCCTTGATTTTGCCTTAAAATGATCCATAATGTAGTAAGAGCTTAGTCTATCATGTAACACAGATTTTAGCATGGAGAGGAAGCATTCTGCTGTAATTTTCGCCTACAGTTAAGCACCAAAGATGTATGACCTTGAGCTTTTGTCTAAGGTCAAGGGTCACATCACCAATATGGGTTTCTATCTGATTGCAATAAGAAACTACGTGCTTATCTTACACCTTTTCCAAGTTTTAATGGATTCAAATTTGTGATGTTTTAAGACCTTCAGTGTGACCTTGACCTTTGTTACAAGGTCATGTGTTACATCACCAGTTTATAGTCCTCAAATGTCTTCCTAAGTTAGTATAATAAGTCTTTTTGTGCATTTCCAGTCATACAGAGCTGTGCTACATCCCCTCTTAACATGAGGAGAGCAACACAACAACCAGAAGATATGCAGGAGTCATTGTGAGGTGTAAATAAAACTAAAGTTTTATTTTAACAGGCTTCAACAAAAATGTGCAACAAAGGTTCACAAAAGCAGTGGGAGGAATGGGACGAAGTGGTGGTGCCAAACAACTGAACACAAGAAAACAAAACAAGGCCTGACTAACTCCTCGTGTATCACAAAACAAATCCAATCAAAAGACCTAACTAACTTCTCTACAAACAGAGCTTTGAAATAAACACACGAGTGGCACCAACCAATAGCCCTTGTGTGTCTAACAAAAGTTCCTATGTGCTGCATAATGTAGGGTGACCAACTTCCCTAAAGTCCCAATCTCACCACCACAGAAACGTACTTTCAAGTTTACAGCAAACAAAACGCAAGTCTCACAGACAAAGCAACATGCAGTCAAGATGGCAGCTCCACTGAGCTGACAACGGGCCTGGTTTTAAGCTGCAACACAACACCCCCGATTGGCCAGCTCAACAGGTGGAAGCCAGCTTTCCAGGTGGATCCCAATCAGGTCATTAGCACCTGGGAATGAAACAGAAAGGAGGGGGAAGGAGAGACAGACCATACATACTCACACAACCAGCCCTCTGGCACGTAACAAGCTGTTTTTGGGAAATGTGACCATTGACCTCTGTAGCGGTCACCAATATATCTATTGACCCCAAAATCTAATCACTCCGAGAAGGGACCGAGGTCATATATGAAGGTTCAGATTCAAACTCCTCTCCTGTAAAGCGCTAAACTGTTAACAGACAAAAAACTAAACATGCACACAAAAACAAACACACAGGCACGATTATTCTACTCTAACGAACAAGATAAAGAATGAGGGTAAATCCTTGTGTGTCGCAATACATGTGATCTCTTTAGAAACGGTCCTCTCACACTTGACTTTAGGTGAGGCGCAGAACTCACTCACGCTCAGAACTTTGGCACCAGAAGTGGAAGGTTTCTTTGAGCTATCTGAATCAGAGTTTAAGGTGTGTACCTGTGAGCGGGATTTGTGACATCACATTTAGTTTTTATTAGTTTCAGGTTCAAGAGGCAACTTGTACAAGAGTGATGTGGAAACTTTAAACCTGCATTGGACACACAGTGAGAATAGACTGTTGATTATGCACGAGACAAGCTCTTCAAATGAAAAAGTTTCTACATTCTGGATTTTTCCATGGAGGAGGAGGTGTAGATGTGACTTTAAGAATATCCAAGCAGGTAATTTTTATTTTTTTTCCAAAGAAAAAAAAACACATCAGACACAAATAATTATCCAAAGCAGAACATTTTTATTCATCTCTGAACATGCCTGCAGGGCATCTTTGAGTGAAATTCTTAGAACTTTGCTTCCTATATTTTACATCCACGCTCGCTTCTGCAGCAAAGGTAAAATCAAAGCTTCTTGTAAAGCTTGGCAGGTTTTAGAAATACTTTGCTTTCATATTATATTCTCTTTTTATACTCTTTTTCCGTCTCTCTCATTAGAAACATGCACTCAGCATGCTTGTAAAGCACAGTGACCCTCACTGCTCGTATATGTCAGCCGTCAGCTTTGATGTGGACTGATGAAGAGGAACACGACGATGTCCACAGAGAGGACGGCTGAGCTGGTCAGTCAGCTCTGAGTCCATTTACAGGGATAAACAGAGCTTTACGGAGACTGATACCAGATGTGTGACTGTGTGTGTGGCGCTGCCAGCACCCAGTGCCCTGAGGGGTATGTGTGTGTGTGTGTGCGTGTGTGTGTGTGTGTGTGTGTGTGTGTGTGGCCCTGGTTTGATCACAAATGTTCAGGTAAGACAAACACAGTAAAGCAGCATTAAATCTGTCTGGGAGGTATGGAGGGCAAGAAAGGAGAGAAGAAGAAGAAAGGCAAATTAATTAAAATATCCGACTTAGCTTTTCATGTTCTTTGAAGAAATGCCACGACAAAAAGAAAAGAACAAAAAGGCTTTAAAGTTCACACACAGCAATATATTCACCAAGAGACAGACAAAGGTTCATAATCAGCCCCAAGATCAGTGGTGGTGGCCTGAACAGATACCATCAACAATTCAAGATAAAGTGCAAGTTTTGCATGAATACGTTCTCACAGCACCGTCTGAAAATACACCTTATCAGTGCTGCAGGATTTCTCCAAGGTAAACCTCATTTACCATAAATCCTATTGCTGTCTACATTGAGGAAGATGTTATCAGTCGTCTAAATGCGGGTACATGTATTATGTCTGTTCGCAGATCATCAAAATGTGGGAAGAGTTTTTTACTGTGAGAAACGTTGGAATCGGTGTGGATGCCTCTTGGCTTTTGCAATTCACTGACAGCTATTCAGAATAGCCTAAATTATGTCAATAGGAAAAGACACTGTTTTCACAATTTATTGAATTTGGTTTGACATTTGAGGTAAACATTACTGCAGATAACACTGTATGTCCCTCTTGCTTTAAGCAATCCAAAGTCCTTGCAAAGGTCAAAAGATGGCTGAATGTAAGTTGGCAGTTTGGCAGGAAGTGCAGCGAATGCATCAAACAGAAACAAATAGGATTGAGATGATGTTTTCAGTCGGTTGCTAATTTGCACAAAGAACAACATTAGCATTCATTTGGAGGTGTTTCTGTTCACCTGATGAATAAAGTCTGATATTCAATATATATTTAATATTCTTTTTATCTCTGTTCTTGTCACTACCAACCCAGAGACCAACATCTGTTGTTTTAGCTGCTGAATGTTCTACTGTATTTACCAGCTTTGAAGGCTGATCAAAAAGTTTAGAGACTGTGTCTGTAAAAATCAAAAAAGATATCTGATATGGCGTCCCCCGGAAGCTCAACCAGATAAGACGGCGACCCACAAACAGGAGCTATTGTCCCCGATGCCGTGTTCGTGGGATCAACTCCTGACAACAGCCATTTGCTACAGGTCTTTCCCCATTCTTCTACCCCCTTTCCTGTCTCTCTCCACTGCTCTGATAAAGAAATATATATATATATTTAAATATACCTGATTAAAATTTTGGTGCTATCCTTGTCCTTCTACAGTGATGCAGCGCTCCTGTGCTGCTTGTAACACTCCCTGGAAGTCTTGTCAAGCACCGTTTGCGGTAAGTGCTGAATCTTCCAACTGGTGCCCCCTTAATTAGAATTTCATTTCGGGGAGAGGAAGAAGTCACGGTGTACGAAATCTAGTAAGTTTGGAAGTGGAGAGCAACGGTTGTGTTGCTGTGGCCAAAAAAACATGTGTAACTGTATATATGTATGTATATGTATATATGTATCTATACTGCACTGTGACTGGATGCACAGCACATTGGAGCACCCACATGCCATCACAGTTAAGGACGTTCCAGTGGAGCTCTGCCTTGACAGTATGACTCTGTGGGTCCACTTCCTGGTGCACAACAAAGAGAATATTGAAGAAAACAACAAATATGTTCCTGGTGCACTGCTGACCTGATGAACCTTTTTTAGTTCTGGAAACTACTTCCACTGTGAAAACTGTTGTTTCTTCTCTTGATGGTAGCTGCAGATCCGCCTCTCATCACTAGAGATGATCCTCCGCATGAAGGTTGGATCATTCAGTTCCTGACTGACACAGAATGCGATATTTTCCTCTCTGCTCCAGTTTGAGGTCCATGGAGAAACCACAAATGTTTCCAGACCGGTGGTGACAAATACGTCAAAGGTCCTTTTGTTAATAGTTTGGTGAAACGCAACACCCTGACTAATGACAGCTACTAGTGGCACATGTTGCACATATGACCA